TGGATCATGGAGGTACGAGCCACCTCCAGGACCAAACCGATGCGTCGCTCAGTGACCCCAATCTGCTGCGGGGAGTCCGGTAGGGTGTACGTCTGGGTGATACCCTCCGCACGACAGAACTGACCCAGCCGACTAGAGGCGAACTCACCGCCACGGTCAGAGCGGAGACACAGCACAGGGAGACCGTGGTGGAGGCGCGCTGCGACGAGCCACGGGATAAGAACGTCAGGCACATCGGCCTTCCGCTCCAGGGGAAACACCGTGGTGTAGCGCGTGAAGTCGTCAACGAGCACCAGAAAGTAGCGCTCGCGACGCGGTCCAGGGACAGGGGTTGGGCCCCTGAAGTCCAAGTGCAGGGTCTGAAGGGGTGTAGTGGCAGGGTGAAGTGAGGAGGAGTGAGGAGCACGGCGCAGCACGGCGGCGCAGGCGAGGGAGGGAGAGCAGGGAGCGACGCAGGGAGGCTAAGGACTAGACCGTCCTGAGACATGTGACGCAGGCGGGGGAGCGCGAGGTGACCTAGGCGGTGGTGCCACCGAAGCGACGGGTGAGTGAGCGACTGACACGAGCAAGCCGTAGCGACTTGGGTAGACGCACGACCCGAGGAGGAAACTTTCAGAGTTGGAACGAATGACTAGCATGAGAGGATACAGGGGTATATAGCGAGTGGGTTGTATGGCAAGGCCCTATGTAGTCTACTAAACGTACACAAATATGTTTGACAGATGCGCCTACCGAGGGGGAAGCAGTGTCCAGCGTAAACAGGTCAGACACCGGGTCCTGGGGGAACATCGCAAGGGGGGTACAGACAGCGTACCTCTCGTGACCAGAGAACGTAGTGGTGATGCCAAGGTCCTGAAGACAACCAACACCAACTACGTTCCTGGAGAACGAGGGGATGTGCAGGCCTGTAAGTGAACCCGAGGGCACAGCTGCACAGGGAAGGGTAGTGTAACTCAGGCATCGACGGGACCAGACGAGGGGTCAGCAAGTGCAACGGCGGCATGCGCGGCAAGCGGCGTAAGTGTGGTGTGGTCGCGGAAGAAGCAGGCAGACGCACCGGATTCAAGCGTGAAGGACAGCGAAGCAGAGGCGGCAGCCGAAGGAGGAGCGAGTGTGGAGCCTAGGCTAGACAAAGCAAACGGTCCTATGCCTGACACAGCAGGGGAGAATGTACTACACACTGGTACTACGTCTAAACTAGAGTACACAGGGCAATATGATCCGGACACACTAGAAGCATCTGCATATAGAGAATGCAAGGGCAAAAGTAATCTGATCCATGTCTAACTCAAGAACAGGCACACCGTGACGCAGCAGACTGGGCCAGTCAGGGAGGTCCGGGGCGGGGCCAAAGCAGCGACGAAAGAGGTCATCGAGGCGGCGGAAGCAGCGGGCAATCGGGTGTGGGCGGCGGCACATAGTGCCGCGGAGGGGGCCGGTCAGGAGCTGGTACTGGCAGCTCACAACACCGAAGCTGCCGGTAGACGCCGAGCTGCGAGGACCGTCACCGCGGCCACCACCTCCAGAGGCACCTAGCCACCCCGTCGGGAGGCGGGCCCATGGCTGCCGCTGATGCTGCTCCTGCGGCTGCTTCTGCGGCTACTGCTGCTGCGACAACTGCTGCTGCGGCGACTGCGGCTGTTGTTGCTCCTGGACACCAGGCCCAAGACCCTCGTCAGAAGCACTGTCCCCACCACCACCACCACCACCACGCCCTCCTTTGGGGCCACGACGGCCCCGACACGGTTGCAGCTGCGGGGACACCGCATTTGCGGTCTCAGCGGCAGGGGCAGCCGAATCGGCCACAGCTGAAACGTCAGTGTACGTGCACTGGGAGGGAGCACAGCCCTGAAAGATAGGGACCGCCGCAACACCGCTCGACTGAGCGATAGTGCACTGGCGAGTCTCTATCTTAGACAGGGTGGTTACAAAGGTGGCCAGGGTGAGTTCACTGGGGTGCTGGTTAAGGAAGTGGTCGCGAGTAGTGGCTAAGCGGTAAGGAGGGCGCATGGCAATAAGGTACAGGGTAGCGCAGATTGGTGGGGGGAAGGCAGTGAGCTGGGCGTCAGTGCTAGCGGCGTGGTAGCTAGTCTCTAGTGCACGGAGGTGAGTGGCTAGGTCAGCGACAATGGGGAAAGCAGCAAGATCTCGGAACAGCATGGGGAGGATCAGGCGGCCAGCAGAGGCGGAGGCGGGCGTGGAGTAGCGCTCAACTACTGCATCTAGGAAATCCTCGGCGTTCACGACAGCAGTGAAGCGCGGACGCTCAGACAGGGGAAGAACATGACTAATGGCTAGCTGCGCTACGGCATCATGGGAATCCCAGACAGCGCGAGCGAGCGCAGCAGCAGCAAAGGCCTCACGCTCAACAGTGGTGGGGTCAGCAGGGAGGGGATCAGGCGGGGGGGGGTGGGGAAGCAAACCATCAACATGCACAGCCAGGGAGTGCCCATCGTGGCGCTGACCTGTCAGGTGACGGCGGAGATTGACAAGCCAGGCGGCAAAGTCGATCGCATGCCCCTCCGCGTCGAGGCGGAGTACGGCGTCCGCCATCGTGCACCCTCAGCGTCACAGCTCTAGGGCGACACAATGACACGGCAGCACAGCTCCACGGCAGCACAGCAACACGGCGGCACAGCGGCACGGCGGCACAGCGGCACAGCGACACAGTGGCACAGCTACTCAGCGGCACGGCCGCACAGCGGCGTGGCGGCAGGACTCTCCGACGGGGAGACCGAGCGGAAGGCCGAGCGGGGCGCACAGGGCCCAAGGCGCGTAGTAGGTCGGCGAGGCGCGATGGGCCGGCGGGGCTCGAAAGGGGGCGGCGAGGCGCCAAGGGCCGGCGGAGTGCGAGGGCCAGGCGGAGCGCTAGGGACAGTGGGCGCTCGAGGGGCTGGCGGGGCGCTTAGGGCCGGCGGAGCGCTAAAGGGACCAGCGGGGGCGGCGGAGCGCTAAGGGCCGGCGGGCACGCAGGTGGCCGACGGGGCACGCGAGGGCCGGCGGGGCGCTAAGAGCCGGCGGAGTGTGAAGGGCCGGCGGGCACGCGAGGGGCCAGCGGGGTACGCGAGGGGCCTACGGGGCGCTAAGGGCTGGCGGGCCGCTAAGGGCCGTCGGGCACGCGAGGGGCTGGCGGGATACGCGAGGAGCTTGCGAGGCGCTAAGGGCCGGCGGGGCGCTAAGGGCCGGCAGGCACGCGAGGGGCCAGCAAGGTACGCGAGGGGCCAGTGGGGTACGCGAGGGGCCGGTGGGGCAGTAAGGGTCGGTGGGGCTCTAATGGCCGGCGGGGTGCGCGAGGGGCCGGCGGGGTACGCGAGGGGCTGGCGAGGTGCTAGGGGCCGGCGGGGCGCGCTAAGGGGAACGACGGGGCGGTAGGCTAGGGCTAGGGCGGAAGCGGGTGGGCGGACCTAACCTAGCTCTGATACTATGTTAGAATAGCAGAATTGAACTAGAACATGTGAGTACATGGGAGATATAGGGTTGGAGTTGTGACCTCTAAGAACACAACATCTAGCCTATAACTTCAACATATAAGCATATGTAAAAGTTGATAGGCAGGGCGAAGCACATCCAGCTGCGGTACTTTCTACTCGTGAGTTGCAGTAGCGCTGTCAGGCTCGTGTAGTACAGTTAGCCTCAGGGGCCAACATCGCTGCTATCTTCACCAGGCCCCCAAATTGGTTTTTGGGTTGTCTGACTCGTTAGACTTGGTATGGGCATCATAGTTGCCCCTAAAAAAAAGAGTAGAAAATCAGAGTAACAATATATTTTTGTATGATCAATAAGAGTCACTATGTTTCTAAAAGCTGACTTTAAAGCCGTTGTCACATGTCAATAAATGTCCTGCACTCAGCCTAATCTACCAACTCGATTTCCTATTGCTTTCAGGGTCTCGGGCATGGCATGCTAGGGGCTTTCTTCGTGCTCTAGCTATTTGTATGCTGGCGAAAGCGCACAGTCACGCCACCCAAGTCGCGGCCTGCGCTAATTTCACGGGCCAGCTGGCGACGAATTGGGTTGGACTCGTTCGTGACAAATGGCATGTGCGTGCGGGACGAACGGGGGGAGGAAAGGAATTGGGGCGGGCGAAACAAAATTGTTGAGGAGAGGGGAATCTCGCGAAGGGCCAATGGGCGCCCTCGCACACACAGGCCGCGGGCGGCACACATCAGCAAATGTTTTTTTTTTGTGAAGGACCAATCAGCCCCTCACACCGCCTCCAGCACAAATTGGGAGGTGATTTTGGTGAAGGGCCGGTCAGCTCCCTCACACGGCCCCCTATACGCATCGGCCTTCGAGGACCAATTGGTGCCCTCACAAAGCCTCTAGCAAGCATCGGGCCCTCCCTGATTTTGGCTAAGTGCCAGTCAGCGCCCTCCACAGGGGTAGCGCTAATCACGCTCCCCCTCAATCACGGTATTACGACGAATCAGAGTCAACTCCCCATATAGAGCTGAGGCATCAGAGTACAATAGCAAAAGAGTCTGAAAATCAGCATAGGTACATAAATCATCGCTGGAAAATCAGAGTAAGGTACAAAAAAAAGTCTTCGCAATCAGAGTACACCCCCAAAAAAACTCTTTAAAAAGTCTGAATCAGAGTAAATAGTCTGCAATTTGGGGGCCTTCACCAAGGCACTACCACCTCGTTGTTAAATTATATTTGTTATATAATTGTAGGCTTGATAGGTGTTACTGAACTCTACTGTAGAGGGTACAACTCCCTCCTTGTATGCGCCTCTCTCTTCTATTCCAACTCTCTTTTCTCTCGTCAACTTCCTCTCCTAGCTCCTAAACCTCTCGCCATTTCATGGCCGCCTTCCTTCCTAACTAAGTTAGCCTTCTAACATGGAATCAGAGCTGTTCGTTCCTTGTGGACCTACTCATCACGCTTCCGCCGCGCTCTTCTACTCTCGTTCTCGCGCTGCCATGGCGGCCGCGTCGTGCTGCCGTGGCCACATCGTCGTGCCGCCGGCCGCTGCCGTGGCGTCGAGCCGTCGTGGCGTCGACATCAAACATATATTGTTATATACACATATCTAGTTAGAGTAGATATGTTTGTTATATATAGCCTAACTAGGTCAGCTCTTAGAGGGGATAACACTCGACTTGCATCTCCCGTCACCTCTTTCTAGTCAACTTTTCTCACGCTATTTTCATACTGCTAGCAGAGGCTGAATGCAGCAACAACAGGGTTGTTGTCAGAGTATTCGTGAATCATCGCAACCCCCACTAGATCGCTCTGGGCGAATTCGTGAACCCTGCGGCAGTGAGGGCAGAAAGCAACTCATGTGCCACTATCGGCTTCCTCACAGCTCCATCCATCCCTGCCTCCATGCATGCTCGCTTCACCCCTGCATCCAAGTCAGCAGTGAGGGCTATGACGCAAAGGCGCTGATTCAATGGACCTGTTTCCACCGTGGCATCGATTGCACATGCTTCTGCTGCCCCATCTGTTGCGCTACTACCTGCCATGTTTGCCTCTGGCACCTGCTGTGCTCTCTCCAAGGCACGAATGCGACGCGCCGTTTCGAATCTGTGGGGGGAAGGGACTCGATCCGTGTCAACAGAGGGATGGCCGCAAGGTAGAGAGAAGCATGGCAACGCTTGCAGATGTAAGGGGAGAAACGAAAAGGGGGCCCTGCTGCTGATATCAGGCACACCTCCTTCACAGATTTCACAAATCACAGATTTCATCACTCTGGTAGAATGGAATGGACTAGTAGTATGCCAACATTGAGGTAACAACAGGGTAACACAATGGCAGCAACAACAGAAAGGGAAGCGGTAACAAGTAAACGAATACGGTAACGGTAATGGAGCCCAAGCTCACCCGTCGATGCCGGGCGGCATGTGGAGGTCGAGGAGCAGCAGGTGGGTTGGCGAGGAGGGAGAGGGAGTGGAGAGAGCGTGGAGAGCGTCCTCCCCTGAGCAGAGCAGCAGCACGTGTGCCCCGTAGCCCTGCAGTGTTCTGCGCGCCACCATGCGGTTCACAGCGTTGTCATCCACCACTACCACCCGCTGCCCCACCACCAGCGCCCGCACCAGCGCCTCTGCCTCCCCCACGCTGCCCGCCATCTCCGCCCGCGGAAAAGTGTGCGCATGCACGAGCGAGCGAGCCCCTGCGGCGTGCTGCGGTGGTGGTGCTGGGAAAGCAGCATCAGACAACGCGCCACCACTTGACAACACCTCCATGCCCCTCTGTGATCCACTCTCTCGCTTCACAAGCCCCTCAACAGCCCCCCCTGTCTCCCCAACTTCCTCCCCATTCCCCTCCTCACCCTCCCCGCTGCCAGTACCCTCTCCTCCCCTCATGGACAGCGCCAGCAGAATGGTGGTGCCTGTGGTGGCGTCTGAGAGCACTGCCATGCCCCCCCCCATCTCAGCCACCTGGAAGGAGGATGGGGGATGGGGGGGGTCGAGTTGCACAAGGGTAGCCGTTTTAGGGGGGGGGGGTGGGGAGGGGAATTCCGTAGGGGGAAGGAGTGGGGTGGGGGGGGAGGGGCGGGGAGCGATATTCGAATAGCACAAGAGAAACCGTTCAGGGGGGAGGGTGTGGGGGGGTGAAATTTAAAAAGCGCAAGGGAAAAGCATGGCTGGGGCAGGCAGGAGGATGGGAGGAGGCATACGAGTACAACAAACATGGCTACAGCACTCACAAGGGAGGATGAGGCACTCACAAGGGAGGATGAGGCACTCACAAGGGAGGATGAGGCACTCACAAGGGAGGTGGAGAGCAGGAAGCGAACGGGGTAGGGCGTCCAGCGGGGGCGGGCAGCTGCCTTGCGATCACGGTGCAAAGGATCCCATGAGGCGCGTGCTGTCCGCTCCAACGACTGCCACGACTCTGACCTCCCAAACGACCGGATTCTCTCCTGGCAAGTCAGAATTGAGGGATGGAAGGCCGCAAGATGGCAAGGGAAAGAGAGAAATGTGGCAGGACTCAGAGACGAGAGGAACAGTCGCAGGGAATGGTGGCAAGGGGAACAGTCATGCCATGAAACAGGCATGCCATGAAACAGTCATGCCATGAAACAGTCATGCCATGAAACAGTCATGCCATGAAACAGTCGGAAGCAGGGATCTAGACACTGACCGTGATTCTTTGCTGCCCCTTGCTGCTGCGCGGGGAAGGGCAGGAGAGACCATGTGGATCCAGTACCCACCGCATCTCCTCTGGTGGTATACCACCGCCCGTGTCCTCACATGCCACCACCACCATCCACTCGCCCTCCTCCCTCCCCCTGCACGCCCCCTCCACCCACTCCCTCACCTCCTCCTCCAACCTCCCACCCCCACCCTGCCTCTCCACTGCACCGCTCGCGCCTTCTATGCCGTAGCGCGGCTCGCCGGGCTGACTGGCACGGGGCACCTCCTTGGCCTTCCCTGTTCCCTCCACAGCAACGCATGTCTCCTGATGCCCTCCTGGTTTGCGGCAGCTGCCATCACCTTCAGCTGCCGGCCCCCCCTGCCTCGCTGGCACGTGCTGATGCAGGCACGCCAGGCGGGTGAGGGGAGGGAAGCGGCGCACACAAGCAGGCAGCTGCTGCCACGCAGAGCAGGCGGGGGGGGCTTGGGAGGCATCAATAGCAGCATCGTGGGGAGCACCTGACGCAATGGCAGCATGGTGAGAGGGAGGGATGCACCAGAGGTGGACGGCCACATGGCCAGACGCTGTGTTGCTCATGGCGTGGGCTGCAGGGGGAAGGGGCGTGGGGGAGGGCGCGTGCAGAGGAGGGGGGAACATGCAACGTCCAGAAGAAAAGAACAAGTCACTGATCCCATGCCATAGCTTGCCAACATAATGCCATAACCCCATAGCTTCTCGACCCCATGTCAGGAAACCGGACAGCAAATTGGGCAGGAAGCATCGCATGGGCAGGAAATTGGGCAGTACCTCATGGGACAGAAGCACTTGGGACAAAAGTGTAAGTATTTGAGGTGAAAATATTGACTAGGTAATCGAGCACACGGCTTTTACGTGCACAACAGGTTATGCTAGAATGGGTAGGAGAGAAACCGGGAAATTTTCCAATGGGAAGCGAGATTGCAGGGATGACACCCAGCCCACAAAAAGTTCTTCCAACAAGACACACACTGGAAAAGCAACAAGACGCACACCGGAGAACCGTCACTTTGGATAGCAGCACACCACCCAACGTGCACTTTGCACGATGTGAAATCCAACTGGCCCCCACAACACGTGCTAATGCTTTCCTTTGTATGTTGCCACGGACCTGGAGCTTACATGTCGCACGTCAAGCAAGCCTACGAATGCGAGTACCAAGCTACAAGTCAACGCACCGACAAGCTCCGCTATGACTTGCGAGAGTCGGGTTGGGTCGCCCAGCAGAACTTCCGGAACACTCTCGTCCACATGAGATGTCACTGCAGGCAGCACACGAATGCACCAACCCATGATAACACAAGAATGCACCAACCCATGAGTGCACAAGAATGCACCAACCCATGAGTGCACAAGAATGCACCAACCCATGAGTGCACAAGAATGCACCAACCCATGAGTGCACAAGAATGCACCAACCCATGAGTGCACAAGAATGCACCAACCCATGAGTGCACAAGAATGCACCAACCCATGAGTGCACAAGAATGCCCCAACCCATTAGTGCACAAGAATGCACCAACCCATGAGTGCACAAGAATGCACCAACCCATGAGTGCACAAGAATGCACCAACCCATGAGTACACAAGAATGCACCAACCCATGAGTGCACAAGAATGCACCAACCCATGAGTGCACAAGAATGCACCAACCCATGAGTGCACAAGAATGCCCCAACCCATTAGTGCACAAGAATGCACCAACCCATGAGTGCACAAGAATGCACCAACCCATGAGTACACAAGAATGCACCAACCCATGAGTACACAAGAATGCACCAACCCATGAGTGCACAAGAATGCACCAACCCATGAGTGCACAAGAATGCACCAACCCATGAGTACACAAGAATGCACCAACCCATGAGAACACAAGAATGCACCAACCCATGAGTGCACAAGAATGCCCCAACCCATGAGTGCACAAGAATGCACCAACCCATGAGTGCACAAGAATGCCCCAACCCATGAGTGCACAAGAATGCACCAACCCATGAGTGCACAAGAATGCACCAACCCATGAGTGCACCAGAATGCACCAACCCATGAGTGCACAAGAATGCACCAACCCATGAGTACACAAGAATGCACCAACCCATGAGTACACAAGAATGCACCAACCCATGAGTGCACAAGAATGCACCAACCCATGAGTGCACAAGAATGCACCAACCCATGAGTGCACAAGAATGCACCAACCCATGAGTGCACAAGAATGCACCAACCCATGAGTGCACAAGAATGCACCAACCCATGAGTGCACAAGAATGCACCAACCCATGAGTGCACAAGAATGCCCAACCCATAGTGCACAAGAATGCCCCAACCATGAGTGCACAAGAATGCACCAACCCATGAGTGCACAAGAATGCACCAACCCAGATGCACAAGTGCACCCCAAGGCACAAGAATGCACCAACCCATGAGTGCACAAGAATGCACCAACCCATGAGTGCACAAGAATGCACCAACCCATGAGTGCACAAGAATGCACCAACCCATGAGTGCACAAGAATGCACCAACCCATGAGTGCACAAGAATGCACCAACCCATGAGTGCACAAGAATGCACCAAACCATGAGTACACAAGAATGCACCAACCCATGAGTGCACAAGAATGCACCAACCCATGAGTGCACAAGAATGCACCAACCCATGAGTGCACAAGAATGCCCCAACCCATTAGTGCACAAGAATGCCCCAACCCATGAGTGCACAAGAATGCACCAACCCATGAGTGCACAAGAATGCACCAACCCATGAGTGCACAAGAATGCACCAACCCATGAGTGCACAAGAATGCCCCAACCCATTAGTGCACAAGAATGCCCCAACCCATGAGTGCACAAGAATGCACCAACCCATGAGTGCACAAGAATGCACCAACCCATGAGTGCACAAGAATGCACCAACCCATGAGTGCACAAGAATGCACCAACCCATGAGTGCACAAGAATGCACCAACCCATGAGTGCACAAGAATGCACCAACCCATGAGTGCACAAGAATGCCCCAACCCATTAGTGCACAAGAATGCACCAACCCATGAGTGCACAAGAAATGCACAAACACCATGAGTGCACAAGAATGCCCAACCCATAGTGCACAAGAATGCACCAACCCATGAGTGCACAAGAATGCACCAACCCATGAGTGCACAAGAATGCACCAACCATGAGTGCACAAGAATGCACCAACCCATGAGTGCACAAGAATGCACAACCATGAGTGCACAGAATGCACCAACCATGAGTGCACAAGAATGGCACCAACCCATGAGTGCACAAGAATGCACCAACCCATGAGTGCACAAGAATGCACCAACCCATGAGTGCACAAGAATGCCACCAAACCATAGTGCACAAGAATGCCACCAACCCATGAGTGCACAAGAATGCCCCAACCCATGAGTGCACAAGAATGCACCAACCCATGAGTGCACAAGAATGCCAACCCATGAGTGCACAAGAATGCAAACCATGAGTCACAAGAATGCACCAACCATGAGTGCACAAGATGCACCAACCCATGAGTGCACAAGAATGCACCAACCCATGAGTGCACAAGAATGCACCAACCCATGAGTGCACAAGAATGCACCAACCCATGAGTGCACAAGAATGCACCAACCCATGAGTGCACAAGAATGCACCAACCCATGAGTGCACAAGAATGCACCAACCCATGAGTGCACAAGAATGCACCAACCCATGAGTGCACAAGAAATGCACCAAAACACCAAATGAGTGCACAAGAATGCACCAACCCATGAGTGCACAAGAATGCACCAACCCATGAGTGCACAAGAATGCACCAACCCATGAGTGCACAAGAATGCACCAACCCATGAGTGCACAAGAATGCACCAACCCATGAGTGCACAAGAATGCCCAACCCATAGTGCACAAGAATGCACCAACCCATGAGTGCACAAGAATGCACCCAACCCATGAGTGCCAACCACAAGAATGCACCAACCCATGAGTGCACAAGAATGCACCAACCCATGAGTGCACAAGAATGCACCAACCCATGAGTGCACAAGAATGCACCAACCCATGAGTGCACAAGAATGCCCAACCCATATATGCCCCCATGAGTGCACAAGAATGCCCCAACCCATAGTGCACAAGAATGCACCAACCCATGAGTGCACAAGAATGCACCAACCCATGAGTGAGATGCACAAGCAAAGAATGCACCAACCCATGAGTGCACAAGAATGCCCCAACCCATGAGTGCACAAGAATGCACCAACCCATGAGTGCACAAGAATGCACAACCATAGTGCAAAGAATGCACCAACCCATGAGTGCACAAGAATGCACCAACCCATGAGTGCACAAGAATGCCCACCCATTAGTGCACAAGAATGCACCAACCCATGAGTGCACAAGAATGCACCAACCCATGAGTGCACAAGAATGCACCAACCCATGAGTGCACAAGAATGCACCAACCCATGAGTGCACAAGAATGCACCAACCCATGAGTGCACAAGAATGCACCAACCCATGAGTGCACAAGAATGCACCAACCCATGAGTGCACAAGAATGCCCCAACCCATGAGTGCACAAGAATGCACCAACCCATGAGTGCACAAGAATGCACCAACCCATGAGTGCACAAGAATGCACCAACCCATGAGTGCACAAGAATGCACCAACCCATGAGTGCACAAGAATGCCCCAACCCATGAGTGCACAAGAATGCACCAACCCATGAGTGCACAAGAATGCACCAACCCATGAGTGCACAAGAATGCACCAACCCATGAGTGCACAAGAATGCACCAACCCATGAGTGCACAAGAATGCACCAACCCATGAGTGCACAAGAATGCACCAACCATGAGTGCACAAGAATGCACCAACCCATGAGTGCACAAGAATGCACCAACCCATGAGTGCACAAGAATGCACCAACCCATGAGTGCACAAGAATGCCCAACCCATGAGTGCACAAGAATGCAAACCATGAGTGCACAAGAATGCACCAACCATGAGGCACAAGAATGCACCAACCATGAGTGCACAAGAATGCACCAACCCATGAGTGCACAAGAATGCACCAACCCATGAGTGCACAAGAATGCCACCAACCCATGAGTGCACAAGAATGCACCAACCCATGAGTGCACAAGAATGCACCAACCCATGAGTGCACAAGAATGCACCAACCCATGAGTGCACAAGAATGCCCCAACCCATGAGTGCACAAGAATGCACCAACCCATGAGTGCACAAGAATGCCCCAACCCATGAGTGCACAAAGAATAGGCCACCCAACCCATGAGTACACAAGGAATGCACCAACCCATGAGTGCACAAGAATGCCACCCAACCCATGAGTGCACAAGAATGCACCAACCCATGAGTACACAAGAATGCACCAACCCATGAGTGCACAAGAATGCACCCAACCCATGAGTGCACAAGAATGCACCAACCCATGAGTGCACAAGAATGCACCAACCCATGAGTGCACAAGAATGCACCCAACCCATGAGTGGCACATAGAACAGAATGCACCAACCCATGAGGTGCACAAAGAAAAAATGCACCAACCCATGAGTGCACAAGAATGCACCAACCCATGAGTGCACAAGAATGCACCAACCCATGAGTGCACAAAATGCACCAACCCATGAGTGCACAAGAATGCCCAACCCATGAGTGCACAAGAATGCACCAACCCATGAGTGCACAAGAATGCCCCAACCCATGAGTGCACAAGAATGCACCAACCCATGAGTGCACAAGAATGCACCAACCCATGAGTACACAAGAATGCACCAACCCATGAGTGCACAAGAATGCACCAACCCATGAGTGCACAAGAATGCACCAACCCATGAGTACACAAGAATGCACCAACCCATGAGTACACAAGAATGCACCAACCCATGAGTGACAAGAATGCACCAACCCATGATGCACAAGAATGCACCAACCCATGAGTGCACAAGAATGCACCAACCCATGAGTACACACGAATGCACCAACCCATGAGTGCACAAGAATGCACCAACCCATGAGTACACAAGAATGCACCACCCATGAGTGCACAAGAATGCCACCAAACCCATGAGTGCACAAGAATGCACCAAACCCATGAGTGCACAAGAATGCACCAACCCATGAGTCACAAGAATGCACCAACCGCATGAGTGCACAAGAATGCACCAACCCATGAGTGAGTACACAAGAATGGCACCCAACCCATGAGTGCACAAGAATGCACCAACCCATGAGTGCAAA